CAGTCTTCGCTGCAGGGGTGTGAGGTCTGGCGAAACGGAGCAGCGCCATTTACGGCAGAATTCTCTAGTCAGCTCCCTACTCGACACGATAAAATCGACTTCTATCATGGAGAAAAGGGTAACTAGTATCGGCGCATTACGACTAAGCGAGCGAAGTCGCTTAGCTTGTGCGACACTAAAACTCAAGCCACAACTTTGTAGGAACACATGCGTTCATCTGTGGGATGCCGTCTCCACAAATGACTTGTCCGATAATTGTATGTATCAGCACTTCTCGCTCTCCTCAAGGTACTTTTCAATGCGCCTAAACCTTACTCGTTAATTTTGTACCATTAATTCCTCTGAGAAATTCCCGTCGGGGAGGATAGTATTGGTTGCCATGACGTGTCCCCCAAACGGGCCATGTTGCAAATGCGCTGGATCAACACAGGAACCATATCGGATTCTGGCGGGCGTTATCGGATTCGCATACCATAACAAATTCCAACATCTCTGGGTGCGGTGGCAGAGCCGGTTGTTGGCGCACATCGTGCACACTGGGTCTCCTGTCACTGGTCTTGTTGCTGTTGGTCAAAACCAGGTCATTTGCTGTGTGGACCAGAGGATAAGGAGTGGAGCGTCAAGGTGCGGGCTCGACCGTGACATCGGCCTGCGCCACCCCCCGCCTCCGGTCTGATGGACTCTGTCTTGGCACGGGTTCAGGTGGTGGAGGAGGTGGGAGTGCAGTAGATGCTGCACAAGTCTACTGTCCCTATGAAGTAACTCAGGTGCAAGTCGCTGTGCCGTCTCGCCGGAAGCAATAACTGGGATCTGTTTGCTTCTTATCGATTGGCACCCTCACCTTGTTTGGATCCAAATAAAATTACCCGTGATTTGGTGTATTCTATACTCTGTGAGTTCGTTTCTGTAGCTTTCCTCATGCTCGGCAGTTTTCATGTCATTATTTTTTTTCGTTTTTCGCCTTTCGATTCCTCCTTTTCTCCTTCTTTGCATAGCTTTACATATTTTTGCGATTTAAGGGTGAAGTCCCCTGTCAAGTTGTTTGTTACTTTTACCGTGTGATGTTTCGCTGATTGTAGACTCTTAATCTGATTCTAAATATCTGCCAGGAACTTCGGTCCTTAGCTCCGGTTTCGGGACTGAGCTAATTGTTTCACAAAAGTAATAAAATAGGCAGGGGTTTCTAAATCCCATATTAATGATAAGCTTTGATGAAACCTATGAAAAAATTCAACAAAGTGGGCAGTGTCCCTCTAACTGTTGAACTTCGAACTCTGACTGTGCAAGTTTGTTTTAGTGCATGCCAATTGACGATAATGGCTCCTGTCTTCCGGATGGCTTCGAGAGAGGTGAGTGGTCCACTAGTCTCATTGATGGTCTAATGTCTAATGGGTGAGGCAGGGCCACAGTTTGGGGCCTAATTGGCTTTGCTGAAAACGTTAATGTATCGGGAAGAAGAGCTCTCTTCCTCTGTCGCTGTCTTAGACAACCTGACTTCAGACATGACCCTCATTGTTTTCACTACCCTATGAGATTCCTCCCTTATGCGCATAGATTTTACTGCAGTTCGGTTCCATTTCCTTCGGGGTGGTATCGTGGATACTTACTCCCAAGAGCTTTGGGGTAAGTCAACCGAGGGGTCTAACTGTAGTTAAGAGTTTCTAAGTGCTAAGGGAGAATTGGCTTGCTTATCCTTAATGCATGAGATATACTCTTGTGGACTCTCGTGGCCATGAAAGTCTACGAAGGTAGCACACAGATTAACGTGAAGCAATGTGGATAACTCCTGGTCTAGAACGACCTGAACAACCCTGATAGCATTAGTCGACCACGGCTAGACATTTGCTAGCCCGTTTGACTTGCGGGCTAGTGCAGCGCTAGTAAGCTGACTGGCTGAGAGTGCTCGATCTGTGCGAGGAAAGGTGCCTTTCCACTACACCCCTCCTTGATGCTTACCCGAGTGCATTTTCACGTCACGCCTGGGGGTCCCTTTGCGTGTACACACGCACTTTGTCCGGAATTTCGGCCCCCTGTCTGGCGACTTAAATCGCCTCGGGTTACAACGCCTGAGAAGGCGCGTCAACCTACTGACCCTGTGTGGACAGTGTCCGCCAGGATTGTTGAACGATCCGGTCAATCGCAACACCAGCCCGCGACCAAGCTAGCCCTGGGCTAGTAGAATGCTATCAGAGAAGGTTGCTAGACACGTCAACACTCCTATCCAAACCCGGGTACAAGATACATAATGGGTGCAACGAACCAAGTACATCGGAAAACGACTATAAAAGGAAGAATGAGTCACATCGGGGGATGATCCGTCTGGATGAGGGGGCACGCCAGTATGCTTGTTTAACTGCCGGCGGATAATGCTGCCATTAGGACAGTTGCAGGGGAGGGCTGCGGAAGATGCCAACGTGGAGCGTGAGCAAGGTAACATTAGGAGTTTCGGGAAGGGGATCTGCGGTTGTGGGACAGAGCGCCAGCTGTTTTCACCATCTCCACCCAGGGTCCGGGCCAGGAGTGTTCACTTCGTTCCAACAACCTAATCTAGTTCGTGGGGCGTCACAGCGTGGCCATGACTGTAGATTTTCCTCTACAGCGATGCCATCCTCCGTCGAGGCCTGAGGTCCACTTGGTTCAGGCTCCACAACCATTCGTATAACCCGATTAGGAGACGGCGAAGTACACACGTTCCTAACTCGTAGCTGTCCCCTAAAATTGCACCATGTACACATGAATATCTCAAAACAAGTAACCACGGGTGTTCAAAAGGAATTCGCCCCTTTACATTGAAATGCGGTGTTCTGCCGACGCCGCGACTGCGTCTGTCCTCGATTTCCAATAGGTTATATGCTACTTTTGACCTCGTTTCTGCACACAAACTGTTTACATATCTCCACTTTTCCGTAGTTTGATTCCAGGCGTCCGCCGATTGAGCGCCGCCGCTCTCGTTCTCCTATCGCACCGCCTCCGAACTTTAGGCACGAAAGAAATGTTGGAGGCCCACGCTACGCACCAAGCAATCCAGCCTACTCGGAATATCGTCCACGACCACGAAGTATTACCAGGGAGCGAGGAGTTCCCCGTCGAGATTTGCCGGATTCGTCTCGCAAGTACCCTGCTGGCCGCTTTGAGCAGGTTTCGCCAAGATGGTCCGGCCGGTTAGACTCGATGTTTATTTTTTAATGATCTCCGTTTAGTGATAGGAGTCCTATACGTGCTGCTTCGCCCGTCGGCCGTTCTCGTGACATCGCGCCCAGGCGGTTTGCGCGCGAAGTTCCTACTGAAGACCCTCCGCCAGTGAGACGTTATTCGCGGCCTCCCAGGCCAGAGCCTTCCCCCAGACGATATTCCCGAGATCTTCCACCGCGTGAAGCGCCCGGAGCTGGCAAATATAGCGCACATAGTCCGCCCCGTCCCCGCATGGATTCACGACCATTGTCTTCGGAAAGGCGTGTTCGTGAGATGCCTTTGGACCGCCCGAAATGGCAACCACCGAGAGGTAAGCCCGGCTGTCCTAAACCCTCTTCCAAAGCAGTCTTTCTAGTAATTTTCTGGTCGCTAAACGCGTCCCAGTCTAACCTATTGCCTTTAAGTTTCGGTTTGTACCGGGCAGTGTTCTTGCGTATGCACGATACGTCTGCAGTCAGGTCGGACGTGACCATCTGTCTTGATACCCGAACACCCGGACGCGGCGGTTTGTGACAGCTGACCTAAAAGACCTAGGTCAACAATGCGGACAATATCGAGGGCCCAGTAACCACGTCATCGCTCCTACCCCTGCGCCGGGATCAGGTTTCAGTCAAAAAATTCGTCGTTCCGGTAAAAAAAGTTTTGGACTTAAATAAGCAGCGTCGAAGTCATGCAGTAGCTGACGATGCCGCCGAGCTACTCCGATCGTCTTTGGATCTCTTATGGTATCTCCGCACTTCCGTTGGATTACGTTGCTCGAAGAACTGCTCAAGCTTTGATGGTCAGTAAAGTTCGCTCCCGTCAGTGCTCACAAATCAAAACGCGGTTGTGTCGGCTAAAAAGCAGGCCGGACGAATACAAACTCCGTGTGGCTTGGCAGAATCAAAATCTGGAACTCGTTCATATTTTTGCTAGGGGCTGTAGTTACCCTGAAGGCATCATCGGTTTACTCGGCAGTGTCCTCCCCCCTGCTTCACTCCGTTGACCAAGAACCAATCCGTGGGATATTTGACTTGGTCAAACTCGAATGGACAGCCGTTGTTGACGACCAGGGCCTCAATGAAAATCCATATCAAGCATCCTTCAGCATTTTCAGCAGTGATAGGTAATCCAACGAATTCCGCCTCCCTTTACTCCGAGACTACGTTCTGGAAGCTTTTATAGCTTGGCGCTACTGCCGTCGTAGTTAAGTTCGGTCGGCTGGCGCCCAAATGCATGTTTGGCACCACCGGAGCAGCGTACCATCACGAGAACAACCAATTTCGCATTTCAACGCGATAAGGGACGTGATGTATCCTTGTCAAACAACTAACATGAACAACGTCGCAGACAGGGGGTCGACTGTAGCACTCGATCACAACCATTTCATGATGCATCTAAGCCTTACGACTAGCGAACTCGAATGCTGCGGCGAATCCAGATGGCCCTGGATTGCCGACATCCCTACCCAAAAACAAATACCCAACTGAGGTTGTGTCCTGCAAGTCTTTTAACGTCTACTTTGATCAGCCCGTGAGTCTGCTACCCACAGTTTCGCTTGCAAACAGTTGTTCCACTTGGTTAAGTTATGGCCTGTTGTAAACAATTCGCCTTATTTTGGAATAACCCCTTGCAGTCTGTGGAGACTGGATGTCACCACACAAGGTTCCCCACCTGACCTGTGGTTTCGACTGCATTGACAGAGGTGCTACATAGTGAAACTTACAAAAGTCGTGCAGTGTCCTTCCATTGATGAAAGTTTAAACACGTCTTGCCGGAGGAGCCATAGTCAGACCCAACTTCACGAATATCGCACTATCGGTCGTTGGGATTAAGCTGGTCGATCAGATGTCAATTGCACAAAACTTCACCTTCACTATTCAGCCGTCCACTGCATGCGTCTCGTTTGCCCTAGTCATATAGTTTAACGCCTTCAGGCAACGGCATTGCTCGAGAATTCCCTCCTAACTCCGTTTTTCATCGGGTCTGCAATATCTAACGAAACAGGTTATTCCCTATAGAGTTTTTAACTCCTACAATGCAAAAGCAACCCATCCCCGAAACGTGCCATAAGGCCGGGCCATTGCTGAGGAGGCCACACTACCCGTCTGCGACTGAACAGGTTGATACCCAGATCAAGGGCCGCTATTTTTCAACCATGGACCACCGTCAAGTGTTGTAGCTTCCACCTCAGTGTTCACCTTCCTACATGGTAGACTTAAGATTAAGAGCTTGGAGTTACGATGAAAAGGTGTAGGCTGTTGCTGTGACCTACAGTGTTAGTGTCAGTTGCAAGTCCAGACTCATTTTTTGGTAATACTTGCCTAAGGTGACGCATGCGCCACTGCTCTCGCCAAGTCATAACGTACCGATAAACTTCTGGCCTCAAGAATGCCTGTCCGCCTTGTTATACCACGGGCTGAAAGATTATTTAAATCGGTGACGGAATGCCTGACCAACGCGTGTGTCAGGAATATGCTCTGGTGTCATTCGTCGCTAAAGGTATTAAGCCGTGGTGTCTCTTCCAACGCGGTTATTTATAACAGCGTGTCGTAAAAACGAAGGAATCGCCGTAGCAGCCGAGATCGTCTACTGGACGTGGCTGACGGTTGTTTCGGCTGGTGCACGCCGAAGTTGCAAGACGTCCAAGTTTAGCCGGCCCGTTTAACTATAAAGCGTGGAGAGAAATCGGTTTCGCGCCTATATTTTGCCCGTCAAACTTGGCCCTTTATTCAGAAATATGGGAATTCTTGGACATTGCTATCCTGCAAGCTGTTGATGGACTTGTGTACAAGTTAGACTACGAGGGTTCTGGTCATCATATTTCCTCAAATCCAACCTGCCAATTTTCATCTTTCACGCCTGTCCCGTGTTCTAGATGGTACTCGCAGCTCCTATGCACTTTACGGCGATTCAGAACCACGTTCCAGTTTCATATATTGAAGGTGCGGCCGTGCGTTTGCTTCAAATTACCTGGCACCGCGTTTTCAGTGCACTAGTCAAATAACCGTAAAACTGGGATCCTACCAAATAGCCTCATACCTGTCCCTGACATTACTGTGACCTAAAAGCCTGTGGCTCGTACAAAACTGAGCTCACGATCACTCTCTGAGTCGCCTAGTACGACAGATTCAGTCCTAAAGCCGAGCAAAAGGTGAGCGCGGGGACACCGATGGTCAGTCAGCAAGCGTCGGCCACCAGGTTTCTTTCAAGCTATCAGTTATCAAGAGCAAAGCACCTCAAAAATAGCGCACCCAAGACGCGAGACCAAGCAATTATCGCCGTTTGATGTTCGGTTTCGGTTTTTTGTGATGACGTGTCGATTGTCGCTGTTGTAAATATCTTTCAGCCCGGGGCAGGTCCTCTAACGTCGGTTGGTGATAGAACATTTCGCTCAAGTACGAGCATTTGTATTTGCGAGGCCGTTGACGGACGACCAATGGGCATCTAAAACTGGAAACTGGAGCTTCAGGCTACTGCAAAAACACTTGGGAGGACCGATGGGGACTGTTGTCTTTACAATGGCGACACAGTTCCGAGCGAGACGCTGCTGAAAATAGATCAACAGGTTTACCCTTTCGACTGCAGTATCCGACAGGTATCTGAACGAAGGAACCACCCACAGCCCGAGCTTTCGCCTAAAGGGTCTTGTCTCACAGAGTTTTTGGAATGGCCAACGTTAAACGGTAGTTCAGCTGACGGGTGATCCTGTATGAAGTTATGATATACAATTAGTGCTGTCGAGTTCTGTCGGCCCATTCCTGTGCTATCCGTTGTGTGAACTTCGAACAGCGCTATGTTTACAAGTTTGGTTCCCAATGGAGGTTGAAGTTGATCAACTGGTCACACCGTGACCCGAAGGCAGCCCTGATCCTGTCCAAAGCGTTGGAAACCGCGAAATTAACGGGCGACAGAAACAGTTGGTACACGTCGCAAGGTCTTTGACTCCAACTAAGTTGTTTGCCAGAACCCTCACTAGCCTCCTGTTTTCGTGCTGGTGTGAACGCCTATGAAAACGAAAACCTACCGTCCAAAAGGGACGCCGCGTTGATACCAAACCGTTCGTAACGCGCAAGGGTATCAAGAACAGGGCTTGTGTTCTACTCGCAGATTACGCAGTCGACGCGCCATACGCAAAGGGACACGCATCAGGCCGCAGACCCCCTAGCCGTCAGCACACCCACGCCAAGTCCGAGTGTGCATCGCCAAGTCAATGGGCAACATGTCACAAACGGATTGGTCTTCGCTGTCTGCTTTTGCAAAACATCAATTCCAAAGCCAGCCAATAATCGAGGAAGCTACGAACTTAGTTCTGAACCCCGGCTGTATGTACCTATCCTGTCGGCCCTGCTGAAACTTCGAGCGTATAAACAATGAAGAAATTCAATAATCTCGAGCTGCCGTCAACCGTTGGAATGCTGGAAGTGAGCTTCTGGAGCACTAAAAATTAAGCGGGAATACATACAAACTTCTGATTGTTGAGCAATTTTGGATTTATTCGAGGCAGTCACATGCTTGTAGCATCGCATAGGTCACTATGTGGTAAGATTGGCGCAGAATAAGAAGCTACCACAGTACAATCTAGTCGGGTCTGAAGAGACAGTCAGCCTCAACACGGGACCGGCAAATGCGGCCGTTTACCATGAAAGCATGGATGGCAATCAATGAAGCTGCAAAAATACGCGAAGCCCAGAACGCAATGCGGATTTCGCGTTCACTAGATCTCTGGCAGTCTGAGGACCCAAACTCGGAGTCTCTTGTAATAATTAAGTGAACATGCAATGCATTCTGCTTGGCCCTACAATAATAAACAACAATCCAAACTGCGCATAATCAAGCAGATAAGGCGTTTGTCTTCATGGAGTGGTTGCGGACCAGCGTACTGTGGAGCGACTTAGGTCGTCGCATGAAGTGGAGGATGTAGCAACATAAATCTTTGATCTTTGGCGTAACAGAGATAACCTGGTCTGCGAACTGATCTGCGGTTGACCCACGACTAAGAAATTCGTTGATCCACGCCACAGGAGCAGCATTTTTGACGAGATCCAGTAAATAGTTTAGAAAAGGAATGACAGCGATGCAGTTGTCTCTTCAGTGTTAGGGGATGTGAGGACATTCGTAGATGCAAGGGTGTTCAGAACAAGCTGTCTTTTTCGGGACCCAGTCTTGGACCACAGTCCAGCTCATAAAATATCGAATTCTTCCATGTCAGATGCCTCTGGAAAGATGGGAAATCGTATCCGCCAAGCCCCTCAGACTAGCCACCGGAATCCAGCCATAGAACGACATTGGGCGGCCTGTGGTCCTTAAAAACAACAGGCATATGACCGCTTGCCTAGTTATCGTTATTGCAGTCATTGGCGGATTCTTCACGTCCCCCAGCGCAATACGGGGTTTCCGCTACTTCTCCTTTGATAGAGCCGGGATGGTTGTAGGTATGTCCGAACCCCGACACCGGATCAACTGTCTAATTAGTGATATGACAGTTATACTGTCTCGCTGCCGTAGAGCGCATGTACTGTGGTTTCCTACGCCCTCGAATTACTTAAATCACACGTCACCGATTTTCGTCGGTATTTCAGGACTTGTGGCGTGCAACTTGCGTGCGCAGCTTTATCTTTCCAATGATGTTACCGGGACACTAGCAAAACGCCGAAGTCGACGGAGTAATCCGCCTTGTCAAGTCTGACGTTAAAAAATTCCATTTTTCGATTTGTAATCCCTGAGGAGCATTTTCGTCTTTGCAATCTTCAATTGAAATCCTACTTTGCAGCTCCGAGGCCACATTAAGTAATGAGCGGGGCCCCCTCGCCAAAGGTGTTTTAAAGCAAGACAATGTCGTTATTGTTGAAGCACTCGGGGTGTGTTCCGGCACTAATCACGGTGGTGAGTGCATAGCATTACGGGCTTCGTCACTTGCACCGTATGTTTCAAATTGCTACTCGCGTGGTCAACTGTCTTTAGTTTCGATGACACAATAAATCTCCAAGGCCTTCTGCAAAACGTCAATATCAAATGCCCCAGAATCTGTCACGAGATTAATATCTGACCAAATGGACATCTGCTTACCCAGAAATTTCTGGGGTCTCTTATCTGCTGGGTCCCCGAGGAGTTAAAGCTGTTAAGATGTGCGCTCTCAAAGGTCTTCATTGCGATTTCGACCAACTCGATGTCTCTACTTGCGACAGTTCTTGTTAGGCCGCTCGACTTTTTGGTCTCCATGAACTCCAACTTATTTTTGCCAGTCTCACACTTAAGGGAAGTTTGCTATCCTCTGGAATCGCTGGTGATGCGCGTGATTCATATTACACCAAGGGAGCCCTGTAAAACAGTCATTTCCTTTGCATCCACTACGAGTGGCAAAATTAGGTGAAGTCGGCTGTGTTGTGTCTGGCCCATCGACCAATTTGAATCAGGCTTCATAAGGGCGTGTCTGCGCGAGTAGTGATAAAATCGAATTACGATGCGCCCGCTGCGACCCTCCACTCAAACCCGGTATCGAGCCGTCCAGTCAGTTGGAAAGCTCCCAAATCTGCCAGTAGTCCCACTCTTGTAATAAGTTCTTCAATGGGACACAGCCCAAATTCTTTCCACCAGTGTTAAGGCCCCAGAACTAGAGCCGAAAACATGATGCGCGTGAGGCGCATATTACATAGTCCTGGCTGCACTACACAGTCAATAAACAGTGATAGGCGATCATTCATCGCTTACAAGCCCCAGAGACATGTGGGTTTTGGTCGCCCGTACGCAGTTCTAAATTCCTCAGAATTACCTCCACAATCCGGTTCGAAGGTCCGAGACTCGTCTAATGTCAGTAATGTCCACCGGGTCTCTCCGCGCTGCTTCGATCGCTCTTGAGCCGGCAAGAGTCGCCACCCAAGGTGATCCTGTTATTTGGATGGTTAGGTTGGTTAAAGTAATCAGGTAGTCGAAGTGAACTCAATAAGCAACGCTGTAAGACGGTTTTCGTTCCAAGAACCACCTCATGCGATACCCAGTAGCAGACCCCAATATGAGGATCAAAGTTCACCCAGTGACCTACTTTTTGCCACAATAACGCCTCACTCGGGTATGACTCCGTGACTTTGCTGTCGGATACCCATCAGTGCCCGTCAACCCGACTCAGGCCCGGTAGTTTACTCCATCCGTCCCTACGCTCCGACCAAATTAAGAATTCAGACTGGCCTCAATAACGCCAATTTAAACGTTGCAATTAGGACCAGAGGTTGGTAACGTAGCTTTAAACGTTTTTGCAAGAACGGTTCCGAGAGCCGTATTTTGCGCTTCATCTCAGATGCGTAGAGGTTGTACTACGGATAACCACGACCCAGGCCTATTGGATGGAAATGCTCTCCCGTAAGGTTTGTGAACATGAGCTTGTCATCATGACCTTATATCCGGTCCTAGTTTGTTGGCAGGGTCATTGCGCTGCCCAAACTGAGATAATAAAATCCGTCAAAGTCGTTTTTTATGGGCGCCACTTTCTCCAAACGAAAAACATATGCTACATGACATGAGGAAATGCCGGCCTTTCCTCTTCGGGGCGCCGGAATTTTTAGGTGATTGCCATCATCCCGCAAAGCGAACATCTTGACGGGCTCTATGTGCCGCAGCGCTGTACCAGCAGGGTATACTGGTTTCTTTGTGTCTTTGACGGATTGTCGTAGGTCCGTCGTTCGTATCGGACATTACTTGCTAGATGTTAGGAGAAAATCGTGTGTAACTCGAGGAACTTCAACGATAACGTCTATTGGCTGTTTCGTCAAGGAAAGGTCTCGAAAAAATGTCTGAATCTCCAACTTGATGTGCTGGTTTTTTGAGTATTTCGGGAGTACGATTGGGATTCCATCTGGACTGCCGCCGTCGAAATCTCCACACAACGTCGGCTTTAAAATGAGATAGCTGTTCTCATTATAAGCATTCCTAGAGGCTGGCAGAACGATTGATCTGTCAAACTTTTCCTTGCCACTACCAGGTGACATTCAGCCATACAGAAACGGGCGACCATCTTATGATGACAGAAGAGTTGGGCGCCCACCCTACTCAGAAGACACATACTCGGATATTCCAAGGCGCCCCCGATCCGATTTCAGACGCCAAAGCCCTTCACCAGGTGAACGCATTACGACCACTTTTAACGGACGTCCACGCGGTGACTTTTCCCGAGGATCCATACGAGGCTCTGGTCCACCACGTAGGAGATGAGAACTATGTACAAATCCAACCCCCAGCCGTTTCCTTTGCGTCGTCAACTTTTACTAGTAAAGTGCTCACTTTTCAGTTGTCTCTTTATTCTCATCCGGGAACGGAGAGGCATCATTTGCGTCACACATGCCTCAGCTCAGTCCTGCTGTGTTCATGTTCTTGTATCCATGGCCAGTTCCGTCGTGGCGTAAACCCTTCGCACTTAGACTGGTGCCTTTATTTGGCACTGGGAAAGTGCAAGAGTTTTGAATATTATCGTATGTCGCCAAGCTGAACCATGTCACGAATGAATCTGCGACTTGTCATCCATTTGTGGGAACTCTACGGAGAGGCTAGGCTGGCGGCCTGGGCAGTTGTTGGAGTCTCAGCGGAAGTCTGCATCCAGCACAGCTTCCACCGGAATCACATCAGACATCCAGAAATTGGCATGGCTCCCTGTTTCCAAATTTCGAAGAAACATTAATCTCGGGAAGGTCGGAAGACTGAATTCAAGGTAAATAGTTAACACTTCTTTTTTAAGAATTGGATCCTGCTGCACCAAAACATGAAATTTCGTGGTTACCCCCACCCATCCATACAACCGGGAGCTTTGTCGCCCAGCATGTGAAACTCGGAATGTAGCAAAAAACAATTGCCAGAGTTTGACTGCCGAAGATTTGTGACAATTCAGTGTGGAGATATAGGGAGGACAGACCGCCGGCGGTGTGTCCTTCGTTTCAGCCTGAAAAGATGGTTTGGAGTAAGTGAATTGTTGTGTTGTGTCGTTTCTATTATGACGAACTTTGGCCATGAAGGTTTTATTTCTCATCGCCGTACCTATCTATTTAAGTCTTCGAGGGGGCTCGAGAAACTTTCCCATTTTCTTGGATATCTTTTGATAGGAGGTAAGGTAGCATGCCATTTTCCTAGGAGAATTAGTGGGCTCCCAGTTGACGTAGGTTTTTTTAATTTTTTGAGTTTATGTTGAGGGTTTTGATTCTCGCCCCCATTTGGCGTTTTCATAGAAAGTAGGCAGAAAATGTTTGAATATTAACACATCAGTACCACAGCGTCTCTCGTTGGTGTTCTTGCTGCCTCGATTTTAGCCCTCTTCTCTTAATAAGGCGAAAACGGGGCTTTCCGTTTTCGTAAGAAAAAGAGAAACAACAAATGCCTAGCTCTTGGCAAGCGAATGCGACATCGTTTCGGTTGGAGTTGAGCAAGTATATCCACGTTAGGCTTATGGTAGCTCTTCTTCGTATATTTTTGTGGGAAAAAGACATGAGCGGATTGGTTCCTTGTTATGCGGAAACGTCAGACTACTTGCCGTTTGTTCTGCGCATTTAGCCCAATCTTCGTGCTCATAGGCTGCAGAAATCCGTTGTATTTCCAGAAGCTGCCGTCGGTGTGTTGCCTCATTTTCGACGGCAAATACACCTGAAAACTTACTCCTTTTCGGGTTTTAGGCGACCTCGAGGATGTTGATTGTATCTCTTTATCCCTGTCTGTTCAAATCAATTTGGAGCATTTATGTTTTTACTTCGTTCGCCTAATCTGTTTTTTATTCTGATTTTAGGTTTACTTGTGCACTAACAACGGATGGCAATTGTAGACAAGGAGAACTGAGGTCTCATCGAATGGCAACTAGTACCGCCTCTGTCTCGAAGGTGGAGTGCGTCCCCGGTGAAGAAGTCCTTCGTGGTGTCACTTGAGTTGAGGCTAGTTGCCGTTCATTAGGGAATGCTCCAAAGGTCGTAATGATATCTTGCGTTGGTTCGGTGATTAAGACCAAATCACCCAGCACAACCTCAGGTACGGGCTGTCTCAAAAGTATGTGCACACCCTAGTGGTTGATGGCGTAATCTTTGGCCCATTGGAACAGAGATTTACTTTCAGCCAGAGAGCCTGTCGCCGCTAAAATCGTGATTCAAGATCCTGGTTTGTGCCGCTGTTAGGCCGGATGGCTGGGCAAAGGCGATTTATAGTGCTCGCCTTGTTCTCAAGGCCTCATGTGCGGAAAGGATTATCTGTGCAACAAGACTGAGGCCGTTGCAGAATCAAGACTACCTTTTGGACAAGAGTGCGGTCAAACGCCAGACGGAGTGTTCGTTGGTGCCTGCGATTCTTGCGACGGAGCAGACAGCAGTTTGAAAACACGAGTCGACAGAGTAATTTGAGAATGCAGTGAACCTTTATAGGCACCAACTTTGATATTATCCGGTGTGTACTCATTTTCTGGGGACACCGTTTTGCTCTCGACCGCATCGTCATGATTCGGTGTTCTTGCTCTCTTAATAAGGCGAAAACGTGGTTTTCCGTTTTCGTAAGAAAAAGAGAAATAGCAAAAGCTCTGCGCTTTGTATGCGGATGCGACATCCCTCAGGCTGAAGCCAGGCGGGTATACCCGCTCCAGGTTTGGTGTTCTCAGCATACTTTGGTTGCCGTTTACGATCACAAACTCCGGAAAGGTGTCGAAGTCTGACCCGCCACTAGTGTGCGTTTTGGTGATCGGGGTCTTCCCATCAGTTTACCGATCCTCAATTTTCTGGGAGCTGGAGTGAAATCATTCTGTGTCTCGTTATATGACAAGGTCTTATTGCCATCACCGGTTTGTTTATATCATGATTTTCCCTTGGATGCCCGGGCGATCGCTGAGGTGTAGTAGGCATCCTTTGAAGGGATTTCCGCACGAATTTGTGTTTGTCAGAGTTGTCTTGCACCTAAGTGGTTGTTTCTGTTGTGTGTGTGGTTGGCTCGTAGTATGATCAAAAGCCTAGAGATCATTTCTGTGTATTGCGTTTCATCGTTTTCCTATAAAGTTTTTGCACTACCTGTTGTTCTTTTTTGAAAATCGGGCACGCAGTAGCGCATCCGACCCAATCTCGCTCTGGTCGCGAATGTGTAAAGTATGACCGGTGGTGGGGGTCAAGGGCAGCAAGATGTCCTTTTGAGGGCAAGTGATTTTGGATTCCCCTCCACATTCCACATTTGCAACGGTCATCGTGTAAGAGCGGCGGAAGGGAATTAAACTCCCAAAGCGCACGTCTGGTCACTTAACTGGCGGACATGGAGTTCTGTTCGGAATTCGTTCAATCTGAGCCAATTTAGTTTACGTTATTTGTGTTGGGTTGGGATCTGGCAAGGTTCTCGGCATTGCGATTTCTGGGTTGCCTTTTCTCAATGCCGACGAGGTAGCCGTTGATCGCAGAGGGGTGTCATTTGGTGCTGGAGCATCGTTAATATAGGAAAAGTTATCAGCCCGTAAGTTGACCTCGAGTCCAGGCGGCGGGTTACTGCCTGTTGTCGGTCTTCGCATCATCGAAGCGGTTAAATCCCAAGTTGGGGCTTGGTACACCGCCATCTTAGTCTCTCGAGTCGGCAGCTCCGATCACTATGTGCGCTGAATGTTATGACCCTGCCCCCCCCCCTTTCGTCGAAGTGCTGCGGGTCGCACCAGTCAAGTCGCAAGTTCGGGCTTGGCGCGCTGCTGTGTTGGTCGCTTAAGTCGATCGCCCCAGTTGCGATGCTACAATCGCTGTTGTGGTTCTGCCCCCGGCGTTTGTTGTAATACTGCGGCTCGCACCAGTGGTTGGTTATCGGTCAGTCAACTGGCTCTGGCGTCCGCTCACACAGCGCCGGATGCGTGCCCTGGTCTTCGTTCCGCGCAAGTGGCGGTGTCCCCTCGCGAGCGTCCAACTTCTCTTTGTTGACGGGACCAGACGTGAGTGTTGTAGTAGCTGGGGTCTGTTTCAGTTCAGGTGCGGCGGCATGTTGAGTCGCGCGCGCTTTGTGGTGTTGCGGACGGCGGGCTGCGCGTTGCCTCCGAGCGGTAGGTCGGTTTGTGCCCTTAGATGTTGCTGGCGTGCCCAGAACTGCAGACGACGGCCGGTAATCAGCGGCTGTGCAGCCATGCCGTGGCCGCAGGGTTGACGGATTCAGTCAACTGTTTATGCGTCAGACTCGTAAGCACTAGTCACTGGGGTGCGCTTTGGAATTAGAAAGTTGGTTAGTTGGAGATGTGACATATTCCTACACATGCCGCGTCCTAGCGCTAAGCGGACCGCTAGGGGTTATGGGAAGCGTGCGATAGTTCTGTTTTGCACGCCTCCGTGGGATGATATGGTTAGAGCAATCACCAGTGCACCTCATACGGTGTGGCGGTTGTATGCCAGCAGATCTGGGGATTTATTTAACCAGTGGGGATGTATAGCGTTTCTACTTTGAAGAGCAGAGCAGCAGATGCGGCTGCTACCGCGGTCATATTTGCAGATAACTTCATCGTCAGAAAGGAATATCAATATAGGAAACTCGAATCCTGTAGGGAGAAGTTCGACACGGGTTTCGCGACCGGCCCTGCTTTCTGCGCGTTGGAACCGGTGCCGGAGATGGTGTATCTAGTCGTTGATAGGCACGATCGGACAGGATGACCGCTGCGATGAAGCCAGACTGGGGTTGGCGGACAACACCGAAAATCCAAGTAAACAGCTACTGGGTCGTATGGAGCGGATTGTCGTTCTAGGCGGGCGGGAAAACAAGACATCTCGCTGAAACAAGGCTTCCAAGTGTTTTGAGAGCCCACGGGACCTTCTATGAAGCAAAAGTTCTACTCCAAGATTTCGTACAGAGAGCCCATAGATACCGTCAATGAAGAGTAGCCGGTAGTCCCACAGGGGAACTGCAAAAACATTGCCTATTTGACAGTCGAAAATTGGAAGAGGTCTGTGCATGATTCTGGTGGTACACTGTGTGGTAAATGCCGAGAGTTGAACTGCTGGGTTTGCCGCTGCGCATGGGTCGATGTAACATCTACTCCGTACCGGTCACTCGGGGGATGCGTTTTGTGGGAAACGCTTTCCAGGAGTCAACATCTCACGTGCCTCGGTAGACATGATGTGCTTTTGTCAGAGGGGAGCATCACCCAGGTGTTCAGGTCTTGGCCGATTTAGGCTGTTTCTTGCCTAGATTTCTGAAGGCCATGCGATCACCAAGGTTCAGATAGAGTAGGGCGGTGCAGAAGTCCCTGACCACGCGGGCTCAATCCCCACTACTGCTGGTCTCGCCGAAGATGTTCCGAGACTCCGGTTGGACACAGCTGGCGGAGCAACTGTGATGGAATTCAGATTTCGTGGTCCTGCCACACCATTCCCCGGTGGTCGCTAGTTGTCTCATCCCTTTCTACTTCCAGCTGCATACTGTGTGCTTCCCACTCTGGGTCACACATGGAGTCTCGTTGCCAGCGTCATATGCTGACGTCCAAGCTAACGTGCTCGCCGGAAGTATCGAATTTATAGGTCGAGGTTGGGTGGCTAAGATTGAGAAAACTAGCTTTTTTCGGCCAGGTCTCAAACGGTTGTTAGACGTGACTTTAGGTAATTTTAAGAGTGTTCCAGATGTCCATCCACTAGTTTTAGAGAGAGGGCGGCAGACCTGGAAGCATAGAGTACGTCCTGTGACGAGCAGACGGACAAAATGCAGGGTTCCCTTGCGGAGGCGATGCTTCGTATGGGGCTTCGTTAAGGATGGACGGCAAAGATGGAGCGTGGCCAGAGGTACCGCTGTGTGGCATCTGGCCTTGAGCTTAAGTCCCAAGGGGGTTTGGAGGACAAGTGTAAGGACTGGTATCGAGGCTAGGAGAGGAGGATTGATACTCCCTAGAATGTATGGCGTATGTTTGTCTGTAGTGTGACGGGCTACTCATGTCCATGTCCAACCCAGAGCAGATTCTACCCGAGCTCTGCCCCCGGTGGCGAAGGCCCGGTGTCGAGGCAGAAGCCCAATCTGCGAGGTTTGCTCTAACACCTGAATGGTTTGTGGTGCAGAAGCCCCTGACCACGCAGCCTCACCGCACTACCGTTGGTCTCGCCGAAGATATTCCGAGACCCCGATTGGAAACAACTGACGAAGCAACTTTGACGGAATTCGGATTGTGTGATCTTGCCACACCATCCCTCGGTGGTCGCTAGTTGCTTTCTCACCGCTCTCTTCTAGCTGCATACTGCGTGCTGTCCCACTCTGGGTCACACATGGAGTCGCCATCCCAGCGCCATATGCTGACGTCCAAGCTAACGTGTTCGCCGGAAGTATCCAATTTCTAGGTCGAGGTTGGACGGCTAAGACTGAAAAAACTATCTTTCTTCGGTCAGGTCACGAACGGTTGCTAGACGTGACTTCAGGTAGTTTTAAGAGCGACTCGGATGTCCATCCATCAAGCCCACGCCCACTAGTATTAGGGGTGGGGAGGGGGGGGGGAGAGGCAGACCCATCCTGTGTACCAAATGCAGGGTTCCCTTGAGGAGGCGATGCTTAATAGCGCAGCGCCCTCAACGACGTAGGGCTTCATTAAGGATGAACGGCAAAGGTGGCACGTGGCCACAGGTGCCGCTGTCATCTGGCCTTGAGCTTAAATTCCAAGGGGTTAAAGCTAGCGTTAGTAGAGCAAGTGTTAGGACTGGTATCGAGGCTAGGAGAGGAGGATTGATACTCCCTAGAATGTATGGCGTATGTTTGTCTGTAGTGTGACGGGCTACTCATGTCCATGTCCAACCCAGAGCAGATTCTACCCGAGCTCTGCCCCCGGTGGCGAAGGCCCGGTG